CAATGGGCACCACAGAGGAAGGAATAAAAAGTTCCATACCCTGAACTGCTCGAACAGCCGTCCTATTCGCCAGATCTAGCTTCCAGTGACTTCTATCTATTTCTTAGACTCAAGGAACATCTTCGAGGCAAGAATTTTGCATACTATAGCGAAGTGTTAAGGCTTTTTTCGAGGATCAAGATAAATAGTTTTTTTTCCATGGGAATTCTGGGTTTAGAAAAACGACGGACGAAATGTATTGAATTTTTAGGAGATTATGTAGAAAAATAAATTATTTTTCTTACTACAATCACCATGTTTAATATTCATTAACATTACTTTTGGATCACTCCTCGTTGTCTGTGTTTTCTGTTAATAAGAACTTGTAATGGCAAACATTACCCACTATTTTCACGCGAGAACTAAATACGAAATCAATATAAATTTATTGCATGTGAAAAATTTACTTTCATGGCACCCCAGTCCCCTTCCCGTATGCCCTTGGGGTTAGTGAAGAAATCACAAAGAACGCGGAATCACAGTTGCTAATTGCAGTTCTATAGGAGACAGTTACTAGTATAAGTTTTTTTCGTTGCTTTTTTATCTTCGACAGTGCATTATACTTATAGTTATAGGGATTAAAGACATCTAACTATTATAAATTGGATGTATAATAGTTAGATATTGCCTTGTAGTGTGACAAACCCTCGTACTCCATTTGATAGTGAATCAGCCAGAGCAGTCCATGAATATCTTCACCATCTCCAAACAAATCTGGGTATAGGTACATTGTCTATCATGCTAAAATGCCTCCAATTTTATTGAATCTTATTTTTTTCTACGATTTTGCTGAACTTTTTTTTATTTACTTACTTCGCTCAGTTGAACAACTGCAACTTCGAGAGTGACTCCTTCCAAGCATTTTATTACGTGGTAGAGCCACGCTACAGCAATATTATAGTTGTAGCACAAATGGGTCGGCTCGACCGGGGCAGGACCACGCTCTCACAGAATACTAGCCTAAAATAGTAGCGTAATGCTGTTGTGTTTCGTATGGTGAGTGTAGAGAACCGATGATCCTTTTTACTGGAATCGATGATCCTTTTTACTGGAATCGATGATCCTTTTTACTGGAATCGATAATCCTTTTTACTGGAATCTATGCATTAATTAAACCTTAGTCCTCAGAGGTGACAACGCATTTGCATTTTGATTCTTAATCGAGGATAAATGTAGATGTCTATGGACTACAGCATCCACTTATGGGCTACGGCATCCACTTACCACCAGGTGTACTGTGTGCGCGTTTGTCACGAATGCTATAAAAAGCCAGTTCTCGATGAGTGCCTTTCGTACCAAAAAATTAAGAATAATTAATAGAATCAAGCGCTACTTTGCGGAAATTCATTATATTAAATATAGTGAATGATCATTGAGCGGATATGGGCAAAGTAGCGTAGTAGTATGAATTACCTACGCCGAACGCACGTAAATGGTTTACAATCACAGAAATAGTAATAATAAAACAATAGAAATGAATTAGCGCTCGATTACTTCCAAAACCGATGTCGCCACATCTTACCGTATTATAAACGTACGCAATGTACAATGATATCTAATGTTCACATTACATTGCTTGGCGAGTTTGTCAACGTCGCGTGTGTCGCGTATTACGTTGGAACAAAATCAGCAATGATAATTGTACAATACGAAAAGTAATAAATGAGTTTGCAAAGGTAAATGTCATAGTAAAGTATTCATCTAGATATAAATTAATTAAAACAATGATAATTAGTAAATAATCAACTTACTGATGAAATGTTATGCCTTTATTAGTTTAATTACACGTCCTGGATGAGTTTTTACAACTGATTATGCTGCACTGCACCATTATAAATGTATAATAACAAAAATTCACGTACGACGTTCCCCGCACAACTAAATCACAAAAAGGTGAATTATGTTCGTCAACCCATATAAGCAGCGACAAGGTCACGCGTCTATGCGACTTCTATTGTCTTATTATTACGATTTCTGTGGTTACAATGGTTCATTAATTTCAGCAACAGACACACAGACAGAGTGGTGTATGATGGTCCTATCGCCCTCAATTAATTAATATCTAGATAATAATAACTAATAAAAATAACTAATATCTATTGACAATTACTTTATCGTATGGTAAAAGATAATCTACCTTAATCACTACAGATTATCAACTTTTAGATTACTGCAATATACAATAATTATTTATTGACTACGCGACGGTGCTAACAGAACTATTTACTTTGTTTATAAAGATGTAACATTTTAATTTAAACTTGGTCAGTCCTGGCATTTCCATTATAAAATGAATCGTACTCGCCCGCCAACGGATTCTGTGACAGAAAATACGCAGAGCGCAATTCTTCGCAGTTACTACGCAGAGAACGAGTTCTTTATATCTCCGGAAGGAATTTTCAAGCTGTTATCTGTTGTATGTATTTTTACCATCTTTTAAAATATTTACATCAATCTGTAGCTTGATAGTTTATCCATTCATCCAACACAGCTTCTACAGCCTGATAGAGATCAGGCTGTAGAAGCTGTCGTGTCGTGAAGAAGAAGAGCCGATCGTGTCGGATTACCGTCTCATCGGACAAGAGTGCACCTGTGCTTGCGCAAGCACTCGGGCTCTATATCATGCCCAGTGCAGATGGCCAATCCCCGTTGAGACTGGCCACCGTGGCCGAAATCCTGTCTGTAGAACATTATTCTGTTAAATCCGCTCTTATAACACGAGTATATCATCTAATACACTACAACAAGTTATAGAGAGTCGATAGCTGCCGATTATTAGAACGTTCTCTTCTTGAAAATCAGTGTAGACTGTAGAGTATCGATTGATGTAGACTTTGCTAACAATAAAGCAACAGTGCAAAGTTTTGTGTTTTATTGTTTTATAAAACTGAAGTCACAAATGAACTTGATGGTAAGTGGCTACTGCAGCCCACGGATACCTGCAACCAACTTCAAATAAAAAGGAGGTTACCGATGTGTTGTCACCTTCGAGGACTAAGATGGAATGCCTTACAATATATAACTATACTCTCTCTCTATACCCTTCATATCGGAATACAGTAGTGCGAGCACTGCTATTTCGAGGCAGAATTAAGTGATATATATGTTGCAGATATATTATGGTTGTAGCACGAATAGATCGGCACGACCGCGGTAGGACTACGCTCTCACAGAATACTAGCGTAAAATAGCAGCTCAATACTGTTTCGTATGGTGAGTGTAGACAACCGGAGACCCCTTTTATTGGAAACGAGGCATTCCATCTTAGTCCTCTCATCTCATACTCATCTCTTCCATTTTGTCCGTGTTTTCAGGCAATGAAAAACTGCTACAATATAAGGTAAATTTTGACACTGTGTTAAAGATCGTAATAGCTCAAGTGGATATCGAGCGGTCGCGAAATCGTAATGCCTTGGTTCGCGTCCTGTCTTCGGTACGATTTTTTTCCCTTTTTTTTCAAGTTCACTTCTTTTGTGAGAAAATATATTATTTCGAGCCCTTTTTAGTATTTTTTAAAAATACGAAAATTTTAATTAAATTAATTGCGCTCATGATTTTTTATTTAAATAACCAGTTCAGTTTTTTCTATTATGTCAATAAGATCAAAAAATATTATTGATGTTTCATCAGTATATAATTTGTATCTAAATAGAATTTCAAAAAAAGCGAGCAAAGCTCGGTCCTCCAGGTACTAGGATTTAAATACAGCACGCACCGACAGGAATAAGACAAACACGCACAAACAATGATAAGAAAAAGAGGTAGATAAGTTATACGCGCACTGCAAGTGGCACGTAAAGAGAGACTAGCCTTATTAGCAAACCTGAGCTCAGTCGTCGAGCTATCGTCGCGTCATTGACAACGGCGTTGATAGTAATTCGTGTTTTGTTTTTGCACCGAAAATGCCGTCATATGCGATGAGATTCTGCACAAACTACACAAGAAAGGTTTCCAAAAGTCAAAAGGAATCATATTTATTCGTTTGCCATTTCCTTAATTTATTTTCGTATTGTTTACGAATTCAAAAATTACGTATTTTAAAATATATTGTCAAAATAGAAAGGGATAGAAATACCCCAATGAGTGAGTTTGAAAGAGAAGTGATATTGTTTCTGATCAAAGAATATAAAAAACAGACACGTCTCTTCTGAGTATCGTAATTCAAATTGTGTACATATAATTCTTGTTTTATTGAAGGGTAAATTAACTATGTCATTATTAATTAATAAGTTCGATTTATTTGTTTTGTAGCGTAACGAAGTGTTATATATACGTTCGTATATAAATAATTATTTGATGATAAATTTTTAATAAAATCAATATTTATTTTATTTTCCTACTTTTAATGAATTTTTACTACTTTATTACTGTTACTAGGTGCACTCATGATTGAATCGCGTTTTAGGCGTAAATCACGAAAATTTACTGTAGCTTAAATTGTGATGTATTAATACTGTAGTGCCCGTTTAGTAGTAAGGTACGTGAGGGTAATTTGGTCACCTTAAGCTTTACTGTCCTCTAAAACCAAAACTAAGAGGAGGACAGAGACAAAAACACAAAGTCGTATACTGTAACTAATATATTGAGAAATATAATAGTAAATAAGTTTTTGCAATAATTAGGAACACGTCGAAAAATCAACTTAAAAAAGCTTACTACACTGCACAATACTAAAATCGACTAAAATATGTACCTAATAATGCATAACTATATATATATATATAGCTTCTGTAACTACATAGTAATGTTAACTGTCAAAATGGTGTTGATAAAACAGCGCCCTTTTGACCCTTTATTATTTGATTGACTGATGAAACTGACCATATTAACCGGATGACCATATTACTTTCACGTACTATATACGTATAAGTATTTGTAAGCCATAAGTAAAGTTACGACTTGGCGGATGGAGGAAGATATTGCTTCACTCTGATGGTGTAACATGAAGTAGGGATGGTCAGATGGTAGGGTTCGCGTCGTCGGCACTGTTCCTGTGGGGCGGGTCGTGTGGTGGCGCGCCGTGGCTGGTGTCGGGTGGAGCCGCCATTGCCTTGGTCAGCGCATTGCTGATGGCCTGCCTTTATATCGGTGCGGTCGCTTCCCTTGCCGCCTATGCGCCTTACACCTGGCTTTACACCGTAAGACCTTACAATTACATACATAATGCTCTATAGCTAATTCAGCAAAACAGAACTCTGTTAACCATTTCTGAGTATGTCAAAGTCTGTGTCACAGAATTAGAATTAATTCTGTTACATCACTTTTATACAGCCTAGTTAGTTCTTGAAATTGAAATAGTATTTATAATGGGTCGGCTCGACCGGGGAAGGACCACGCTCTCATAGAATAACAGTGTAAAATAGCAACTTAATGCTGCGGTGTTTAGTATGGTGAGTGTAGAGAACCGGAAACATTTTTTTCTGGAAACGAGGCATTCCATCTTAGTCCTCAGGGGTGGCAACGCATCTGCATTCTGATTCTTAATCCGGAATAGATGTAGATGTCTATGGGCCACATCATCCACTTACCATCAGTTGGACTGTATGTTCGTTTGTCACACTTATTCTATAAAAAAAAAACTTATATTGATATCATGGCTACACATGGCTTCTTTTAATAAGAGCAGACCTTAAAAAACTTCAGACAATAGGTATTTTGTATTTTTTACTAGTAGGATACTACTCTGGAATACTTATATTATCTTCTTAATGTAATCTCTCCTCCCTTACACGAATATTCGCTGTTTTAATTATTGATTTTATTTTCAACTCTAATTATTATATATAATTGATTTATATATTACACTAGATCAGTAATAACCGCGCCAAAGCGTTGCCACTGCACATATGGCCACAGCTATAATGGTGGTTAATATAGCGCATAGCGCCATATTATAGCGCGCTATCTCTTCATAACGCATAGCGCGTGCTATGTAAGTAGTTGCCATGGCGATATGACGCTTAGGCGCTATTCATAAATTCATATCAAGCGGCAATTAGTTCCATAGAGTATCTTTTTATAAACAATTAGTTCTAGCAGCAGCGCTGTTGGGAGTAGACGTGTGACGCAAATTTAATCTAGCAGAACGCTATTCATCGCGCGCGAACTAATTTATTATTAGACGTTATTTAGTTAGTGTATACTGTAAAGAAGCCTAACTAATGTTTTAAAATGTAAATAAAATAGAGATACAAAAGTGTATATAATAGTGTTTGTAAATAGTTGATTTTTATAAATACTATCAATAAACTTTTAAATACACCTTTAATTGATTTATAATTTATATTAAGGTTGAAATAACGTTTACATCAATTATAATAAAAAAATGATTAATTTTATTTTGTTTTCAAAAGTACACGCCTTAAAAATATTTTTAGGATTATAGAGTAGTATATAGTTAGAAAGTCGTAAGCCTGAAAAGTATGAAAGAGCGTTCATTGATTTTTCTTTACTACTTTATTTTATTTTAATCTAAAATACGACTTATTACAAAACAATGTTCTTATATAGCACGCGGTCTATCCAATGAACAACATGTAGCGTGCTCCGAGATATAGCGTGCTGCAAAACTTAACGCGCTTGCCGGCCTCCTTTACACTTTTTTATAAATAGCGCGCTATAACATAGCGTATTTAATAGCGTGCTAGAAATTTCTAGTTTATAGTCTGCAGCGTGCTATTGATTTATAGTTTTGAATAGTTTTGAACAACTTTACACAGCTATATGCCTAGCTGACGTCAGTTCAGTGACTTCAGTGTTCAATGAGACGCCGACAGAGTTGAGCCGCGACAAAAAATGGGTAAATGCGTAGTGAAAGAATGCTATTCAAGGTCACAAAAATGTAATAAATCAATCGGAATCACTTTCAATACATAATTTTTAGTTCTTGTTTTCATGTAAACGTAAAAAACCTCAAATAATTAAATAAAATTATCGAATATTGTCATTTAGATTCAATGTTGCCACTTTTCCGCATTTGTGATTATCCTACATTAGTGGGAGACTATATAATTAATGGAGTAAGTTAATTTGTTACCTCTGATTTTAAATATTTTGGAAATTATAATAAAAACTACGTTTTAACTTTCATACAAAATAATTAATTATTCTTATTTTAGTTTATTCATGAATTATCTATTAAATATATTTTATTATTCTATTTTATATTAATATTTTTATATTAACTATAATTTCATATAAATTTTATATTAATTATATTTTATTACCTATTTTATATTGTTTGATTTATTAGTACAATAAGAATACTTATAAAAATATGTTTTATTTTATCATTATGTTTACTTCTATTCATCTGATAAGCTTTGTATCCTTTTTTCTAATGGGACGCAATAAAGATTTTAAAATAAAATATACTTTTTTAATATAAAAAACAATTAGCTGCATCTTAAAAAAAAAACTCATTTTTATTGCGTATTTTAGGTAAAATTTCATATGGTAAGCCATACCAACCCGCCATTGCATGTTTGTGTGTCTATCTTTATCTAATCTTAGCGACGGTATTGTTTTCGCAACTTGTTTAAGTGAGATAGATATTTGTTTATTTAAAATTTTTATTAGTTTCAAAGCTACGTCGTCGCGTTTGGATAGTGGTTACACTTTTTTCGACGCGCGCTAATGTGGTTTGCTCCTCTAGTATTGTATAACTCAATGTTATATATCGTGTAGGCTGTAGGCAGTTTCCATAAACAAATTGCTCTAATTGCAGACAATTACAGATGCAGACCCGGAATAATTATTAGTAGGCCATACAATACAAACAATCCTCCGTGCGTATAATATCTCTTTTTTCTTGAAGTAAGGGTGACCAAAGAGGACATAGTCCACCTAATGGTAAGCGGATGCTATCTCATAGATACATATCTCCGATTTAGAATCAACATGTAAATTTATACTCAAAATATCAAAATATTAGTAGATATATAATTATTTTTTTTTGTAGTTTGGCGTAGTATTTTGACAGTCAAAAAGCTAACGCCATCGTTTTATCAAGTCCCTTCTGCGGGAGACCTTGTGAGAAATTAGGTACATTGACATTATGATTATCCTGCTATTTGCAATGTTCAGAGTGAGAGCAGCCCTTTTCCGGTCGACCATCAGCTCTACCATGTAAAATCTCAGCCACGCAAAGCTAATACGATAACTAATTCCTCTAGGACATAGTTCTGTCGACCGGGTTGGGCATCTTGTTGCTGGTGAGCGCAATTCTCAGCATGACCTTCTGCGACATGGCAGGAGTTGTTGACTACGCACACGGAGTGAGTAAAACTATTTTAAAAATAACAAAAGTTTAAACCTATATATGTTCTATTAGAATAATCCATTAGTGTGGTTCACAGACATCAATTTTCAAATATGAATCAAAATGCAAATGCTTTGTCACCCAAGAGAACCTTCTACCTGGGCTTTCTGCACTCCCCGTACGAAACACAACACCATTCAGCTGCTATTTTGTGCAGATATTCTGTGAACGTGGGTCCTCTTTGGTCGAGTCGATCTGTTCTATGCTGCGAACATGTAGAACATGCGAAGCTGTAGCATGGTTCTACCACGTGTAATTTACGTACGTACAGGGCGTTGGCCGTTCCCCGGATTGAACTCCGTGCAAAGAGAGAGATTTCCCTTTTTTCTACCACGGGCAAAACACCATAAATCAAAAATACCTCTTAAGTAGTCGTATCTGTAGAGTGATTTAATGTCCATACTCGTAATTTATAAGCAGTAATTAAAAACTTGACTGCGAGAGAGAGAGAGAGAGAGAGAGAGAGAGAGAGAGTAGCGGGATACAACAAGTGAACCGTGCCACGCAACGGCCAAGACTGCCTTAACGGCGGCCGCTCCGTCCGTTATACAATCGAGACAAGTAGCTACACGAGCGCCACTGCAGGTGCAATGCGCAGGTGTGCGGTGCACGTGCTGTTTACAGTAACAGAGGCGCTGCTGTACGTGCAATGGTGCAGGTGCCGACACGGCCATACTCGCACGCGCTCCATCACAATCTTAGTTATCTGTAGACAGAAAAACATCGTTCGATTATCCTGACAAAAGTCATAAACTTTTACACATTCAACAATACGTTCTGGTACGGTCTATATTGAACCTTCAGGTGTTAACAATCAGCTCTGGTCCCGTCTACATCGACCCTTCAGTCAATTAGTATTGGACCGGTTCCTTTGAACCCTGCAACACTAATCAGTTTTGGTCCGGCAACATGCCCTTCAAAACTCTTTACGCTACGCTTTTCCCTGTAGCCATATCATTGGTCCGGCATATTAATGATAGCAAGATAGCGGCCCTTCAATGATAGCAAGAACCACTTTTTTCTCTTTTTTCTTTCTTTTTTCTCAATATTTTTTTGACTTTTTTCGATTAAGTTTGATAGTAAGAACCATTTTTTTCTCACTTTTCCTCTCTTTTTTCAATTTTTTTTCTCTATTTTTTTTCTCTCTGCAGGAGCAGCCCGACCAAACCACAATCAAACGCAATAACACAATAATACCGAAGTATAAAAAACCAACAGCAACACCACAAATATTATTCTGCATTACGGCGCCTCTACACGTTGGCCAACACAGTGGCGAATGTAGTGGCCAATAGCATTGGCCAACGTGTAGACGGGGTGTTTGGGCTTCATTGGTATGTATTGGAACGATGGCCCGCAAGTTAGTGCGAGATCCGTGTGGTGTCGGTTTTTTACAAGAGATCAAAGGATTATTGGCGGAGTTTGGTCGCCGCGTCCACACGTTGGCCGCGCATTTAGTTTGCTACAAGCTCCCAGAGTGATTACACGCATCTGATTTAAATTTTATATTCAAGCTTTGTAGGGTGGATGCCCCAATTACCAGCCTTTTAGTGCCAATTTCAACTTTAAACATTCCTATTACTTTAATTAGCGCGATTTAATTATTATTAAACATTTGTTTTAACCAATAAGCTATTTGTCAAAAAAAATTAACTTTTTTTACAATCAGATTATTACGAGAACAATTTTAAAATGAAAAAAATGAAGCACGTCGTTTATACGTGGTAGAACCATGCAATTATATTAGAAGTATAGTTGCAGCACGAAGGTCGACTCGACCGGGGAAGGACCACGCTCTCACAGAATATCAGCGTAAAAAAGTAGTTTACTGATGCTGTGTTTCGTATAGTGAGTGTAGAGAACCAGAGACCCTTTTTAAAGGAAACGAGGCATTTCATCTTAGTCCTCACGGGTGACAACGCGTCTGCATTTTGATTCGTAATCGAGGATAGATGTAGATGTCTGTGGCCACAGTAACCACTTACCATCAGGTGAACTGTGTGCTCGTTTGTCACCCTATCCTATAAAAAAACGTCGATTTCTTATAATTTAATCATGCAAGATTTCGAATCATCATCATCATTGCAGCTCTTCACAAGTCCACTACTGAACATCCTCCTCTACAGATTGCCGCAAAGCATGGTCCTGAGCCACTTTGCTCGTCATGAGTTTTTCATTTATGTTCTAAGTTATAATTAGAACCTATTATTAAGTCAGTGTTAATTATATTTATTGCTATTGTTTCTGTCTTTCTCAAAAAATAAGTAAATTACCAAATAAATTATGAGGTGTTTTTTTTTTTATATACATCAAATGTCTGATAGAAAAGCAAGTACACGTTTTGCTAAACTTTAAAATCAAAACCCAATTTTAAAACATAGACTAATCGATTATAACTCCTTTAACTTTAAAATAAGTTAAGTTCTTATTAATAGTATTTATTCCAGTTTACGATGCATGTAAAGAATAAATAAAGCTAATCGTATATCGTATATATATTTACAGCCCCATTAATATCCACTATTCTTTTATAATTATTTTGTAAAAACGTTACTCCCACACTTGAATTTTCTCCTGTATCGCGGAGGCAGCTTACAAACATAAATTGCACAAGGACACACATCCAGACCCGAAACAATTATTTGTAGGATATACAAACACTTGTTCCGTGCGGGATTCAAACCCGCGGCCCCCGGCACAGCGACTCATTGCTAAGCCACTGCGCCACGGAGCCGTCGTCTAAAATAAAATAAATTCGTCCGCACATTGGCCCGAACCGAAGTAAACTGAACGACCTTCCAACGTGTGGACGTTGTCACCAACTCTCGGCCAATATATTCGCCACTGTGTTGGCCAACGTGTAGAGGCGACATTAGAAGAACCACTGCAATGGCGGAACCATAATTCTTTCATTCTACGAGTCCCAGTACTCGTTGAATGACCTTGTCGGAATCCCTTGCGCACGATACCCACAGTGAACTCCACACTGCACAAACTATTGGGCTCCAGATATAACCTCAATTCTATAATATCACTACGAATATGACCATTCCTCCAGAATGATGCAACCTCTCTGTACTTTATAGACGCGCCGACACGGCAACCTCTGACATCGCACGTCCTCGTGCGGCCGGCAGTCAACCGTGAGCATTCAGTCTATTAGTTATCACCACCTGTAAACAGATATTGACATTTGTTAAATATTACAACGCTCGACCATCCCTGACTTCATTTAGGTCGTAGACATGTCGTCACGACATCCTCCTCATCGGTAATTGTTGTAGTGACTTCTACCAATCCCTCGACATCCAACACCGATCTCATCAACCACACCATATTTGGAGTAAGCTGCAACCTTATCACACGTTAGAACACAAAAAGGCCACTTATTATTTTCAATCCGTAGCAAGTCGAAGTTAATCGTTTATCACATCGCTTAAAGATTTCAAACTTCAATAGTTAGCCCATGTAAATCAAATTTCGCATGAACTATCAAATTATAACAAAATTCGATCAAGTTAATTTTTTACTGAACGTAAACTATAACTCATCTAAAAAGCTCCCAACGTTTCCTTCGGCATTTGTTAACATATTTAGGTACGTTAAGAAATTATGATAGTATTCGAGGGTACTTTTAACATAAATCAAACAAAATAATTTAAATTTTGGATTAAGACTTTTCACTTTTAACTTTCTCTCTATACTTTAATGATAAACTATATATCGTAAGTAGGAAAGCGAATTTCATTAAACTTTTTACATAAAAACAAAGGCATCAACGCTAAGCGCAATATGATCTTTCACAAACGTACCTAATAACCCTCTTACTATTTAAAACTTAAATTTGGGATTTTATCCCATGTGAGCGAATACAGGTAAATTATCCCATAAAAATTATATGTGGGCAACAACGGGGATTTTATCCTATAAAAATTAAATGTGGGCAATAATAACAGGCACTTCATCCCATGTGAGCGGTATCAGGGAATTTAAAATCCCATGAAAACTAAATGTGGGCAATAACGGGGACTTTATCCCACTTCTGTTGTAGGATGGTAGTTAAATAGAATTAATTTACAATCACAAAATACACCGATCACAGGGAATCAACTATAAATTGTACTGAGACTAATATAAATAGCTGATAATAATAATTAATTCATTTCCACGAATTGATTATCCGAATAGTCTAGGATGAGCTAGTAGCGGGATACAACAACAGGTACCCACCAGGTGCCACGCCAGCAGGTACCGATATATATATATATATATATATATATATATATATATATATATATATATATATATATATATATATATAGCATATGTCACTCCTACAATTAAGACGAATATAACGACGCTCCATATGTTAAAATTCATCAGGCCGTTTAGGCTACAGAGCATGCCAAAGAAATATTATAGTCATACCTCGACTTACGCTACCCCGTTTTACGCGAATTCATTTCATTTGCTTGTTCATGCGTTTTTCATTTGCAATTTCGAATGTGTTACGCGTGTAATTGTTTTACGTACGCAATATACATTTGGTTTACGACAAGCTCGGATGTGTTCCTCGTAGAATTATTGTACGTATGTAGTGCACATTATTGATTTATCTTTAATTATGTCATCCAAAAGATCAAAAAATGAGTCATTTGAACATAACAAGAAAACACGAAGAACACTTTCTTTGGAGTTTAAACTAAATATTATCAAGGACCTTGAGTCGAAAATAAAATTTGCGAATTGGCAAAAAACTTTGAATTACCGGAATCAACAGTCCGAACGGTTTTAAAAAGTAAAGAAAATATTACGGAAGCTGTGAAAGGCTCTGAATCTTTGAATTCAAGCATCATTCGTAAACGTCCCGGTGTTATCGCTCATATGGAAACAATGTTAAAATTATATATTAAACACAACACATGCATTTACGTGTGAAAAGAAAAACTTAACATGTCAGGCGACATTGTTAGAATACTTATATGAAGCCTTCAATATCAAAATAACTTCGGTTTATGTTGTTTTATTCATAGTAATGTAAATTGTTTTTATTAAACATGATTCCTCTAAATTATTGTTTTCTTTAGACTCTGGTCCCGATTTCAAAAACTTTATATATATTTATATGCTAAATTGAACCTCAACTTACGTGAATTCGACGAATTCGAATTCGATTTGGTCCCACCTATCGCGTAAGTCCGGATTATTAACTGTAATTTTTATTACCCTCTCAGGGCAGTCGGGTAATGAAAAAGGGTAACGACGTAATTTACATAAATGTTCATGTAAATGCAAAATGAAACCTAACATAATTATTCATATATTCCTTTAATGATTTCATATAGACCTTTAATGACTTCTGGTTAAACACTTTCTAATGCTTTTAAATGTATGATGATAAACTTCGTATTAAGTACCTTTCAGACCCACATATTGATGTCGATATTAAAAGGGTTTCCCTAACTGAAAATTCAGCGCTGTTGAATTATTTTTGTACGTGGTAGAGCCAAGCACGAAATGTGTGAAATTGTAGATTAATGCTGTTGCGTTTTATATGGTGAGTGATGAGAACCGGAGACCCTTTTACAATACAATACTCTTTATTGTACGTCGAGGAAAGATTAATATAACAAAAATAACGTAGCAATCTCATCCAGACAACCCAGGAAAAGAATTAAATATTTGTAACACCCAAAAGTGCACACCTAAAACGTTCATGTATGTAATGTTTTGAATAATCGATTTATTTTTATTAATTACCGGAAAACATATTTTCGTTTAAAGCTACAAAAAAAATATCTGTTTAATTAACACGAAATTTTTCTTGACTGCTTCATACGGGTGATTCGTATTTTCTTACTGAAAAAAATTGACAATTTAGAATAGTGAAATTCAAAAGGTTTCCAATCTAAAATTAATAAAAAAATCATAGTGATAAGTTCATTTTTTCGAAAGATATCTTGTTATCAACATCCATACCGAGCAATTGACGTCCAAGTGAAATTAGTTTCAATTAACTTTTTAACTTCGCGCTATGAAAATAAATGATTTTCCAAAAATCGGGAAGTGCGTGCGTGCGTCCGTGCATGCGTCCGTGCGTGCGTGCGTTTCGTGCGTGCGTGCGAGATAGGATAGTATTTTTTGCTCATGAGTGACCCACAATTTTTTTTTGCGAATTTAAGGATTTTTCATAGGACATGAAAAAGGATCGACGAAAAGGGCAGGACAACGTCTGCCTGGCAAGCTAGTAAATTATATCAAAAATTGTGGATTCGAAGGTTATCGTTGTCAAAAAAATCCAAATTGTTTTTTTTATAAGTTCGAAATTTCTGTTCGGATCGTTCGTGATGTAACGAGTTAACTATTAGTTTCTAAAAATATTTGTAGAGCATTTTGTGATCGAACATAGTGGGAAGTTCCAGGAATGGCCTGAAAGTTCAACAGATTTTTAATAATAATCGAAATAAAATAAATAATCTTATAACTATGTAAGAAGTATTAACTGAAACCTCCTGTTGTTATTAGTGTATTTTTTTGTGATTGCGGTTTTTCTGATTTGATGACAAAAGAGCACGCTTCGCGGTCGATGTGTGCAATATAATCTATAAATAAGAGAAAGTTAAACGGGTAGGTTGCACTAAAATAAGAAAGGATAACGACTTATGCATGCAAAAAAGACAACATACTTTAGGTGGTAGATCAGATACCATACATGAAAGGGGAAGAGAGAGTTGTTAGATAGTGTTCCTTAACCTATTTATTGAATAAATGTAAGGAATGAGCACTTTTAATTTTAATGGACTGGGGAAGTCTTACTCTAAGAACGGAGAATTATGATAAAATGTAGAGGAGTGCACAGGACATTGCAGGGAAGGATTTTCCTTCGACCGTAAGGAAAAATTATTTTTATCTTTTAACTTTTTTACTGTTTACGAGACCATTTTATTCCTTGGTTACGAGACCATTTTATTCCTCAGGGGTGACAATGTATTTCGTTCTCATTCGGGGATAGATTTAGGTGTCTATGGGTGTGGCCCACATGGTATCCACTTATCATCAGGTGGACTGTGTACACGTTTGCCACCCACATTCTATGAAATATAAAAATGAACTTAAAAAGGAAAACTAGCCTGTATTGTTATTGGTAGTATGAGCAGCGGTAAAATTCTTTGTGCTTGAAAAAAATGTGTCGAGTTTGCGTCGGGAAGACTATGCCGTTTCGTAACATAGGTGGGTGGACCATTGAAGGTCATGCTCCTTCGAAGGCCAATTATTAAAATGTCGTAGTTATTGTCATGTGATGACAAATTCCTTCTACTTACACAAACACCCATCGAACTGAAAATCACAGACGCTGCGGTGAATCGCTCGTGCTGCTATTTTGGCAGTACGGTCCCTCGCTTCGTTGATTTCGGGAATCGACGACGTTAAAACAAGGTGGGTGTACCATGGAAGAACACTCTAACAAATAAACAGTTATTATTCGTTTATTTACTAGATAAATGAAACTAACAAATAATTAAGTAATACTTTAGTTTATTACGTAACATACAAACCACTTCTTTTTATTGTAGATTTAATCGCTATTTATTTAATTCTAGTGTTATTTATTATAATGGCCTTCTAAGAAGCCTTGTTCCTAGCAAGGCCATTTGGAAAAGTTCAGTGAAACTTAAATTCAATCAATATAGATTAAATCTGCAAATTAAAAAAGTGGTTTATATGTTACGTAATAAAACAAAATATTACTTAAATATTTGTTCGTTTCATTATCCAGTAAATAAACGAATAATAACTGTTCATTTTTTAGAGTGGCCTTCCATGGTACACCCACCTTATAATGTGATGTTTCTGAGTCTCATATACTTCTTGTTTATGGAAGGAGAAGGTGGTCTCTCATGTCGCAAAATAAACGAACAGTATCCAAATTAAAGGTCATGTGTAGCGTCCATGTCACACCTATGCACGTAGTTTTTAGGAGCACTACGCTCGAATTTGTCGTCAAATATGTTTACCTAGGACAAATAGTTTGTGTAGGTAAGTCCAACTTCGACCGAGAGGTCAATCGACGGATTCTACTCGGCTACCGTACGGAATATTACTACACATCTCGTCAGGTAAAACTCAAAACTTGAATACAAGTTTATACAACTAATGCTTGTTGCCAGTGATAACATATGGATCTGAGACGTGGTCCTTCACTGCTGACCGAATGAGGAATCTCAAGGTCACTGAGCGAGTTGTAGAGAGGGCTATGCTAAGGGTTTATCTGCGTGATAGATTTAAAATATTCACAGTAGAACTAGAGTAATCGAGATAGCCCAATGGATTAGTAAGCTGAAGTGAACCGACAACCGATAGGGAAGGAAGATTTTCGAGTGGCGGCGAAGTGTAGGGCGGCCCCCACCACCAACATCAGATGGAGTGACGACTTGCTAGGATATGCAGGAAGTCGATAGATGCAGGTGAATCTGGAACGTGCTTTGTGGGATCCCTTGGGGAGGCCTATTATAAGCAATGGACTTGTGAAGGGCTGTAATGAATAAAGGAATGAAATGATTTCTTGATTAAAATTATTTTTACGGATTTTATCGCATTTAATGATAGTTTTAATTAAAAGGACCATAAACAATAAGTAAAAAAGCTGAAGGTACTCCGGATTTAACAATGACATCGGGACGTCAGTCACTTCAGTCCCCCGTGACCATGGGTGCTGGAAAGCACCCGAAACGTCGGGAATTAAAAATAAAAATAATTAAAAGTATAATTAAACGCGATAAAATCCGTAAAAGTATTTTTAATCAATTTCAGTCACCTCAGTCCCCCGTGACCATGGGTGCAAGAAAGCACCCGAAACGTGGGAAATTATAAATAATTTATTATTAAACGCGATAATATCCGTAAAAGTATTTTTAATCAATGTGTAGAGTTCGCGTAAATATAAGAAATCATGAAAGCAGAAACTGCTTGACGTGCTGAAACTCGGCGGCCAGGTGTTTATATATCCATAGATCCCTCGTGCTCTCTGTAACAAAGTTTTACCTACGGTAGCTAACTGAATGTCACCACCATCCTTCTCAGTTGCATATACATATGAAGATACGTTGTCATCCCCGAGATATAAGATGGAATGCCTCGTTTTCAGTAAAAAGGGTCTCTAGTTATCTACACTCATCACCATACGAAACAGAGCTGCACTAAGCTGCTATTCTGTGACAGCGTGTTCCTACCCCGGTCGTGTCTACCCGTTTATGCTACAACTATAATACAGCTACAGCGTGGCTCTACCACGTATTTAACCTAACAATATGTTATTTAATGTTCCAGCCTCTGGCCATTGTGAATGCGGGCATGATAACTGGAAGCGCTGTGATAACGTATGTGTCAGTGATGCAGCGCTTGGACTCCTCCAGAGGACCGGGACGAGAACCCCAGCCCTCGCAACCCACTGAGCACGAAGTTTAATGTATTCAGTCTCGATGTCCCGGAGTACTTTCAGCTTTTAATTATTAATTTTGTTTCAATACACGCAGAATTAGCTTATCTACTGTATCTTAACACGTTCTCTGTCCGCATATAAAATCATGATTACACCCACATGTCCAGTTTATATTTCGATTATGATAGTTTAATACAGACCTCAGTAATACAGATTAGTTGTTATTGATTTTTCATTTCTTTTGTTTTTTTTTAATATGCCAAAAATTCAATGAGGTTAACCCCGACCTTATGGACGTGTGAGAATAAAATTATGTTATGTTAATATATATAAATATTTATAGTAAGGGTCGTGAGGTAAGAGTGACCTCATGAACGTGTTAGTAGAAGTGTCCAATGAGGTCAGGGTTTACCTCATGGACAGGGAATGTGTTAAGTCTTGCAGTGAGTATTGACTTGACTGGGTTTAGTTTTAATTTTATTAATTACAGGATCCTAAGGAATCACCTTAGTCCTTCGTAATAATGGATGTCCCAAACACCTGAAATATCGGAAAAAAAAGGAAATTAATTCCATAAATATAGTTTTATTTCATAAGTCTGGACGTCAGGGTGGTCTGCTATTTCCTCTAGATCCATATTCGACTTTAATTAGACGTGGGTAATCGGGCAAGGAGAATTAAACGACGTAATTCACACTAAATATAATTAGGGTATTACAACAAAAGTTATTAGAGACACTGATTCGTTAAACACTCCACCAAGAACGTAATGCTTATTTGCGATGGAACCGATTGCCGTCTCGAAGCGAACTGCCGCGTCGTCGCTGCTTCTACTTACACTAGCCCTTGGTGTTGCGTCAGAGTGAACGACAACGGATTACTTCGACAGATGGCGTTTTGTATATCCGGTTGGCGTTCACTCCTAAATAATCTTCGAAATAATCAAACGCGCCGTTACGGCCGGACTGACGTTAGCAAGTCCTCGTGCTGCTTTTGGTGTAGAGTTATTCTGTAACAATAGGAAAATAAAACCCGCTGGGATTATCACTTTCATTCGCTCGACCTATCCTGACATGAATAGGTAGACTGTCCCTATCTTTGGACATTTAGGAACTCACACACATACATGCAAGACAATTACGTTTGACCTCATGCAAACTAACACTGGCTAAGGCGTCCTTTCGACCAATCATCGTCTTCTATGATGACTTGGACCGGACAACCTAGCCCATGTCTAGCTAGCTCACAGAGTGACAGCGTCCCTTCGACCAGTCATCATCTCATATGACAACACAGGACCGGACAACTGGCTCTCTATCCGTCATCTCATATGACAACACCTAACTCAGAGTGACAGCGTCCCTTCGACCAGTCATCATCTCATATGACAACATGGACCGGACAACTGGCTCTTTGCGCGTCATCTCATATGACCACGCCTCAGACAGTTTAATAGTATTGATTAATTCTCGTAACTGACATTACTTACGTTAAAGTTTCTCGCGTTCTGATGTTGATAGGGTTACTGAACTTGCAGTTTCAGCATGACCGCTGGACACCGATATTGTGTCACTATCATCATCTGATGTTGGTGTCCTATAAATGTGGCTCTGCCCCGCGTCACGAGCTCCTCCTCATTATTATTAATTAACGAGTAGCTATCTCTACTAGACCGTCATAGCCCCCGGGTACTAAACGAAGATTTTCGTGAGCATATTTGTAAGTCCTATTAGACCCATCAATGTTTTTCAGCTCATACCTATCATTTTCTAATACCTTAGTAATTAAGAATGGACCTTTGAATTTTTTGTGAAGTTTTGTCTGATTGCGCTCGTTGTTTCTTATAAAAACATACTCGCCTATGGGGAAAGGCTTCACGATTGCCTTGCCTCGATTGAACCGTTCTACTTCTGCTGAAGCTGCTTTTGCAATGTTGTCAGCAGCGTTACGTCTGATGTTGTCTAAGTCTGATCGGGGTTCGGGTTACGAACTTAATACAATTTTTGACATACCTAATTTTTGAGCGGATTGAGCTTTTATACCAAACTTTAGCTCTGTGGGCGAATATCCAGTTACCCTAGACCGTGTGACACGGTCTAGTAACTAACTGCTTTAGAGCTAACTGCACATCTAGAAGTTCATCTCGCCAAGTTTTGTTCGGGTCGTTCTCAACTATGGTGAGAATGCTTTTCAGGGTGCGCATTACGCGTTCGCTCTACTAGATCCTGTTGCGATAAGATGAAGGTCTATGGAATGGTCCCTACAAAATTCTCTAAACTCGGCACTTATATAGCATCTCCCTTGGTCAGCTATAACGCGTTTAGGTGTTCCAAAAAGGCAAACCGCTTTTTTTAGAGCTTTAATAGCACTTGCTGAATCTAACGAGGGGGTAGGATATTCAAGAAGGATGTATTTGGTGAAGGAATCGATAATAACCGACGAATATTCTTTGCGATCGCTTTTTCCATTGAGTTTGCCCGTGATATCGATGTGTATGGTATGCCAAGGAGTGGAAACTTTTGGAATCGGATGAAGTCTTATCTGGGTAGCGCCTGACGGGCCATTCGAGGCTTTGCATACTATACAAGAATCTACAAATTTGCGCACTAGCTTTGTCATTTGTGGGAACCAATATTTCTCGTAAAATTTGTTTAGCGTTTTTTCAGTGCCGAGGTGCTTAATTTCTGTATGAACGTGGTTTATTAAAGTCCAAGTGAGGGAGCGCGGTACAACTGGGAGCCAATAGCTACTTTTGTTACGTTCAATTTTCCTATAAAGTATCCCTTTTCGAATATCGTAGGTATGGGCAACGGCTTCAGGCAGTTCTTTGTTGTTGTGCTTGTTAATTAGGTCCTGTATTTCGCTATCCCTCTTTTGTTCGACTATCAGCCAACCTTGATGAAGCTCAACGAATTTTACGGACTTGTTTCTCTGGGATGGATGGGTATCGGCATAGTTCGCTGTAGGTTCATTGAGTGGGTTTCTGGAGAGGAAATCGGCGTGCTCCATACTACTTCCTTGCTTATAAACAATGTCAAAATCGTAAGCTTGGAGGAAAGCCCACCATCGGTGGACTCGGGGTGTAAGATCGGTTTTAGACTTCGACGCTTTAACGGAATTACAGTCCGTGAAAACTGTGAAGTGCTGTCCATACAGATAATGTCGGAAATGCTCAACCGCTCGGACTACCGCCAGGGTCTCAAGTTCGTAGGAATGGTAACGCGATTCGGTTTCGGTTGTCCGACGGCTAAAGTAGGATATTACATGTGGCAGATTATTATGTCGCTGAATAAGTATTGCACCGTACCCTTCTGAGCTCGCGTCTGTATGAAGCTCTACTGGGAAATTGGGGTCAAAGATCGTCAAGACCGGCTCTGATGTCAATATGCTAACTATGGTTTTGTGGATCTCACTATGTTGGTTCGTCCAGGTTATCGGACCTCTTAGTTTTGTCAGGGGGTATAAAGGACCCTACTAAACGGGTGTAATTTGGAATAAAACGCCGAAAATAAGATGCGAGACCTAAAAATTGACGAACTTGACTGGCTGTTCGCGGGGCAGGTACGTCTGTTAGTGCTTGTACCTTCCTAGGATTGGGAGTTACTTGCCCTGATTTCACGACATAACCTAAAAAGTCTACTTTGTTTTTCATGAATTTACATTTATGAATGTAGAAAAACCCGCATTACATAGAGCTTGTAGTGTAAAGTTTAAACGTTCAAGGCCTCGTGTGACGTCATCAGAAATACAGAGGACATCATGCATATATGCTAATGCCACCTTATCCTTAAGCGAACCTAAAGCTTTATTAATACACCTTTGATAGACTGATGCTGCACTTCTTAGGCCAAGGGCATTGCAAGGAACTCATATTGACCCTCGGGGGTCACGAAAGCTGTACGAGCTATGTTGTCGCCCTCGGGATCTATCGGAATCTGGTAATAGCCTGACGCCATGTCCAAAGACGAAAAATAACGAGCACCGTGAAATCGATCTATCTGCTCGTCGTTATCGACGGGCAGATAGTTCTGATTTCGGGTATTAGCATTACTCGATAATTCGGTAAGGTAGTTATCTTTCTTTTTAACGAGTAGTATCGGACTAGCGAAGGGTGAAAGCTCTCACGAATGACTCCCGCTTTTATAAGATGTCTTATTTTATCCCTAACTATCTCCTTTTCCGCCGATGATAACCTATAAAACCTGAACAGTTTTATTTGGGTCAACTAACTATTCGCATGAAACCTGTTGAGTCGCGACGTGTTGGTATGCCATCTATGAAGAATTCGCGGTATTTTTGTAATAACCTAATGAGGGCTACCCTATGCTCACCTTGTAAATCTGTATCAACGTTGGTGAAATAATACTGACTCGATTTCCCTACAATGCCTACCTCCCTGCGTAACGAGAAATGAATACGTTCGTTACTAATCTCGACATTGACACCCTTCTCTAAAATATCCCTACCTATAATAACAGGTTCACTAATAGCGGCGTTGGGAACCACATGAAACAATATATCTAATTGAATGCCTTCAACATTGATGGGGCTAAGAATCTGCGAGTCACACTTCGCTACATTATTATCTCCAATACCCGCGAGATATACAAGTTCGTGACGTATCGTACCTGGTAGCCTACTGGCCAAGTCGGAAGTCACTAATGAACAGGCGGAACCACTGTCAAAAACAAAAGAAACAAGCTCACCCGTGGACGTAGTAAAGGTGCCAATTGCCGACTTCCGCTCGCACAGGTGGACGTTGCTCCTTTTACGGTCTGGACACGCTGATGCGAAGTGCCCTTGTTGACCACAAACGTAACAAGTAACAGGCTCTTCGCGGCGTTTTCGACAGTCCAAGGCTCGATGACCTGACATACCACACCGATGACACGTTCCAGGAAAGCGTGATTCACTGTAGCTGCTTCTTTTCACTTCCGTCTCGTTAATTTCTTGTCCTTCGTATTTTCGTTTTGATGAAATACCGTTGAGAACCCATAACAACTGAGCTCTGGTAGATATATTACAA